AAGATAAGACAATAGACAGTTACACAATAGCAATAACAGTAACATGTAATAACATAACATAAATAACATGTAATCAAGTAATCAAAACTGTGCAAAATTCCGCAAACAGAAAATTTAACAGGACAAAAACAGTGCAAGGTAATTCTTGGAACAGTGCAAAAAACATAGTATGGTTAAAAGTAGTATGGTTAATTAATAAATATTAAATACTATTATGCCTGTTACAATTTTACTGGGCTATCGAGGGGACAGTACAATTTTGGCTTACATGTGTGTGTGGTGGTGTAGGAGTACAGTGGTTGTGGGTACAGGAGGATGTTAGGAGAGATCATAATAAGGTGGAAGGGAGTGGGGGCGTCACCAACTTGACAGCTCTGGGGAAGAAGCTATTTTGGAATCTAGTTGTGTGCGACTGGAGTGACCGGAACCTTCTGCCAGATGGTAGGGGAATAAACAAGTTATGACTGGTGTGAGTGGGGTCAGACATAATTTTGGTGGCTTTTTTCAGACTCCTGGTGTTGTATATTTCCTGGATGGATGGTAAGGCACTGCCGATGATGTGTTGGGCAGTTTTGACCACCCTATATCATACTGTATATCATACAGTACACTGTATATAATGAACAATAAAATGACTGACAGACCTAATAAGATGTTTAGATGAAAAGTAGCACTACTTAATTTAAAAGGACAGTGAAAATGAACCTGTTAGAAAAGTCACAGGAAATATATAGGATAAAGCTTTTCATAACAGCAGTACCTGTGCTCTAAGCTATTAAAGACAGATATTAGTTTTGCTTGCTTATTTATACCTTGTATCCTATTGATTCAACACAGACTTCAAACACCACATCTGTCTGTGGACTTGGAATATATAAATTTGCTGAATTCCAGCAGGAGTTAATAGTGGCATATTAGCTATAAAATGCTAATAAAGTCAAGAAAACATGAAAAGTTGGAAATGTGGAGGGGCTGTTAGGCTGTTATCTTGTTCATTTGTACTTTAGTATTTGTAAGTCGCCAATGTGATTGTTGTATTGAATTTGTCCCTATTTCCTGTCTGGAGCAATTTGCACTTCTCAATATTAAATTTCATGAAGCAAATAACGCAGAATATATAATTTCCTCTGAGCCTTTTTGATTACCTTTTGCCACAGTTTGTTTTCCACTCCCCCTATTTTTGTACCATCTTCAAATTTTCCTAAGTGCTATGGGTCAATCAGGAACAATGGGCCTAGCAGAACGGATTCTTGGTGTTTATATCCATTGTTTATATCCTCCTAATTAGAGATGCTCCTCTTTTTTGTTTCTCATTTCTTGTTCATTGTGCATAAATAGCATACCTTGGATTCCTACAGCTATTCATTTGAAGATTAACCTTTTATGAGGGACGTCATCAAATTAGACTGATCATTAACCATTTTCATTATTTAAATTTCACTTTCTGTGTTCTCTATCACAGTATGCTAGTTAGTGTGGAAAATGGCCTCAGTAATCTTGTTACATACATTCTGTTCCTCATTAATCAATAATTATAGAATTACAAAACCTATAACCTTGTTTATTCCTGCATCTGTATTTGTTTTATGTTGTTAATTTTTTATAACATTTTTATTAGAATTTGTACTTTGTAGCTTGAATTAAACTTGACAATTTATTGTTTTTTATTAGCATACAGTGTGTAGTCTTCTATACCGTGTTGCATATCATATCGGAACTTGTGTGTTCTTAACATGTTCATATCGGAATGGGATCTTTAAGATAGTCTGGTACAAGCCAATCAACGCAGCTGTAAGGTTCAGAATCACCAGTACAATTTAAGTCACAGTGCAGAAGAAAAAAATACCACGACCAAATACTGAAACAAAAACCTTAAGCTCTTCTTTAAGCTTCTACCTATGCTTCTCCTTGAAGTCCTTAACTATCACAGCCAAGCAGCTACACTACTTACTGGAAGCTATACAAACAATAAAATCCCTCTCAGACTATTCAAAATAACTTCACACTCACTAGCTCAAGTCTCCTTTATCTCAGGTTGCCAGTCAGTGCTGATTCTCTTTGATGAGTAGTGCGTACAGCGGTTCTGCCCGCAGCCCCAGACTGGCACTGAAGGCTTCCTCTGTAACGTTCACTATTACACTTTCATGTAGCTGGGACCGTAACTCACTCAGCTGAGCCCATCTTTGATTCTCAGGTGCTTCTCTATCTTTTTTCTGCTCCTGTGCTGTGATCAGTTGTATTGGCATTAAAGACAACTCCCATTCTGCTTCTGTGTATCTTTCACGGCCATTTAAAACTACTTCTGAAGGTCAGTCATGTCATCTTGGTGCACGCACCTGCTTCTGGTCCACAGTTGCCTGAAAATTCTTGGCTGTTCTGAACCTTACAGGCGGCAATCTTTGTGTCCACATTTATTGGGCGCTGTTCAAGCTTCAGGGCCTCATTCTTGTCTTCCAGCACTTCAGTCTACTTAATACATTCTAGCAGCAGTATATTCCAGCCCATGTTTGTATTCTTACTCTCACTCTGGGTTGTGTTCCAATCCACAGTCAGGAACATCTTCCACTCCGCAGACCCATTCTGTATTTCTCTTTTTCTCCTTTTCCTCTCTTCAGACCTCACTAGGAGCTCAGGCCTCACCATCTTCAGGTCCACACTGCTGTACTGCAGTTCTCCCATTACCGACTGCAACTTCTTTTATCCCTCCTTCTCATAAGGGCAGGCTTGTGCTTAGTGGCCATTTTCCATGACCATCTCTATAAGGATTCCCACTGGAAATATTTCCAAACCATTGCCTGACAAAAGGTGCCTTGTGCCCTCCATTTTCTCCATAATGGAGTCCAGAGATCATTTATTCACTACAAGGCAAAAATGTTTTTTTTCCCCAAAAAAATCCCTTTGTAATTTTTCCAAACAGCTAAAAACGAATGTGCCGTTCTACAGACCACAACCTATGCTCACGTCCTACGCTATATGACATTCCCTTAAAATGTCGTAACAGTGTCTATGCAGGTCCAGGCCGACAGAAACACCAAACGGACAGTTGTTGGGTTCAAAATCACCTAGCAATTTATTTCACAGAGCAAGGAAAAAAAGTAAAAATAACATAACCCAATAACAAAACAAAAGCCTAAGCTCTTCTTTAGCTTCTGCCTATACTTCTTCTTAAAGTCCCTAACTATCACAGCTAAGCAGCTTTCCGGCCTGCATGCAAATAATAACATCTCTCCCAGGATGCTTCAAAGCACAACCTCTACAAGTTGAAAACTCACAGATTCCTTTATCTTCAGTCACCAGTCAGTCCTTCCTAACTCTGGTGAGTGGTGTATACAGGGGTTCTGTCCTCAGCCACTCAGACAACACAGCCATCCACTACCCCATACTGACAATGGAAGCTTCCTGTTCCTGTTTTTTTAAACATTTACCTGACCAACTGGCCTCTGTAACTGGTCATGTGAGAGAGCAGTAGCTAAATCCCCTAGAGGAATCTGGGAAACGTGATCCTTGTATAGCTGTGCTCTCACAAAATGAGTCCACTACAAAAATGTATGAGTAATAGGTTTATTCCATGCTGAAAAGAGAAAAAAGAAAACACAACATTTCGGCTGTGGAGCCTTCTTCGGGTGTCTCCACGGACTCCACAGCAGAAATGTTGTGTTTTCTTTTTTCTCTTTTCAACATGGAATAAACCTATTACTCGTTCCTTAGCATGTTGACGCAGCTACTCACTTGAACTACATAAATGTATTACCCATAGTAATTTTACTACAGCTAATAATAATTTCTCCAGAAAGTCTTTCATTAGCCCTCAATTCACTGTTGAAAAAATAATAGTGCTGTTAATTTGTAGCCATAACTACTACCATAATACAATGTACACATTGTATAAGGATACTTCCATTATTATGTGAATCTTATAATGTAAAATGTAATTCTAATCCTGCAAAGTCTATCCTCAAGTCATTTGAATTCTTCTACATATATTTAAAAGTCATTCCAATTCTGGAAATTTTTAGCTTTACTTAATCAGTCCCTAGTGGAAGAGAATGTGATTATGATGTGAATTAGAAATTTGTTTTAACTATTGTTTCCGTTCAGTGTTATCAAAGCTCTTTTACAACACACTGAGCTACACTTACATCCATAATCTGAAACATTTGGCGCCAATTGAAAGGTATCAAAACAACACAGCTTGCTTTTCTTAATATTCTCACTTTTTCTATGCTGCTTCAAATGTAATTAAAACCCTTAGGGGTGTTTGTTAAAACCAAATGAAAGGATTCACATGCACAAAGATACTGAACAAATATTATATATGGAAACATGGCTCAGTTTCACACCAAGAGTTCTCAAAACTATATAAAATGGTTTGGCTTTAAAAGTTATCTGGCTCTGACTTTCAGTAAGCAAATGTGAAGTAATTGTGGAAAAGTGACAATGTGGTTTTGGAAAAAAAAATAGTAAAGAGTAAGAAATAATCCCACCCTAAAAGGAAGAAAAAAAACAATGTTTTGACTGTGAACACAGGTGAATGAGGAAATTACAGAGCAAGTTAAGGAGTGGGAATCTGAGGAAAGGTACAGTACAAAACTGTGGGACAGAAGCAGTCTTTCAAGACTTCTTGAATTGTTGTTCAGTGCTATTCTGCCAGAGGTGTAGGAAAGAATATGAAAGAAAATGTTCTTTGACATCAACCCATAAAATGACTACAAAGCCAAAGTTCGGACACGAAGAAATAATTTCAAAATTCCAAATTATCTGCTTTGATTGAGGGATTCTCAAAATTTCAATTTCCTCTATTCTTTTTTCCTAACTGGTATCAATGTCTTTATTTCAAAATTAAATTTGAAAAAACTAACAAGGTCTGATACTAAAAATAATACACAAAAAGTCATAGTAGCATGTCTAGGAAAATTAGTAAATTACAAATGCAGGATTCCACATATAATCAAATGTGCAATGATGTATGTAAAAGAGTCTGACTGAGATGCATGGCTTACCTGTCTGCTGGTCACAGAGCTGCTCACAGGGGTCTGTTGTTCTCTGGCCACAGTAGTCTCTTACCCACTGGGACGTAGAGTTCGTCTGGTAATACAACGTCAGTTTGGCAGGATTCAACCAATCAGAAACATCCAAATAGCTTCCCATGCTCACCACAAAGCTGCTTCCTGCATCAACAAGAGGGAGAGAAGAACTGTTATCAGTGGTCCCTTAAACTAGAAGTGCAACATCACTTTCCTTAGTCCATGAGTATTACCCCAGAATCAGGATACAATTCCACTGTAGGCTTGTACAATCTGTACCATTAAGTTCTCACTTAATGCAATTGTCGACACATTTTCCTGCTCCCGTCATATAATAGCTGCAGTGCACTACTCAGTACTCAGTTAGCTGAGTAGTGCACTTCAGAGGTAGATTGTAGATGGCTGCTAGTAGATGACTGGAAGCATTTGGGATGAAAATCACTATACAAACATAATTAATAAATTCAGCTATAAGTGAGAGTGCAGGTATGTGTGAACCACATACTGTACCCCAGAAACCTATGGAGGAATGGGCTGCTGCACTGTTATAGGAAGACAATTGGTCAGGTTACTGTTTAAAAGGAAGGAAGGCTTCTTGGGGTGGCCCGCAGATGTTTGCCATCTCTGTGTGCCAGGACAGAAGGACTGCCAGTGGACCAAAGGAATTTTGAGTTTTATGAAAATGAACCGAACAATTGGACGATTTTGAGAAGAGTCTTAGTGGAGACTCTTTTGTGCATTGTTTGTTCAAGGAAAGTTAGCAGTTTAGCTGCTAGGCTAAGCTAGAAAAACACTACAAGAAGAAGTGAGTCAGTAGCTCAAAAGGGAGCTCAGACTTTTGTTTGGTGTATGTTTAGTTAGTGGTGTTTGTTGTTCTCTGCCCTGGTGTGTTTTAAACCTTACAGCTGTGTGTTTGGTGTGTCTGTTGGCCTGGGCCTGTCTATTTTTAAGTATTATTTCACAATACTTGAACTTGAACTTTATTGCCATATGTAACCGGTACTGGTACAATGGAATTCTTACTTACAGAAAGTCTCTCGATTGTAAAACAAGTGTAAAAAACAAAACAAAGTGCAAATAGTGCATCAAGACAATGTACAAACAAACAATAGACAATGTGCAAGTAAACACGTAGACAGTTTGAATGTAAACAATAAAGACGTGTAAACAATGACTGGAGATGTGCAATAGATAATAAATCATAAAGAGGTAGATGGTGATGGTGTAGGTGTGGTCCGAGGGGGATGGCTAAATGTGTTCGCCAGTCTCACTGCTTGTGGATAGAAGCTATTGAAGAATCTAGTGGGAAGTGTCCGTATGCTCTTATATCTCTTGCCTGAGGGCAGTGGGGTGAGGAGCTCATGCCCGGGGTGGTGACAATACATACAACATACAACTGTAGAAGTTTTTTTTTTTTCATTTACTCAAAAGAAATGATCAGGGATGTTGCAAAGATTAAACATTGACCATAAACTTTAATCTCAAATAAGCTAGTTTTGGTAGATCATGTCCATATTGCCACCAGGTTATACAGTCCTAAATACAGACAGGAAGAATTTACTGCAGAATATTAATACACTCAGAAAACCACCATTGATGTAAGGGAAGCAAAAGTAACACAGAGGATTTCGTCAATTTCCTTTGTAAAGCCAAGAAATTTAAAAACACAAATTTGTCAAACAAGCTGCATCTAAACTTTGTAGCTTTATACCCAAATTAAATTAAATGAATCAGGAAAATCACATATGGGTTTGCTTTTATTGTCTGTAGTCTAAAATACTATGAATTATTTTTGCAGATGGATAAAATGTAAACTGCATGTGATTACTTAAATATCTGATGTATTGTATTCACTTCACACATATCATGTTTAAGTGATATAATGCAAAGATCTTATGATCTCCTCTCAGATTATAATTTACAATAACCGTTAAAGGACATGTAGAGCAATCAGTCAAATCTATAATGAAACTGAGAATAGAATCTAACAACTAGGTTTACAGCACTTGTCCATCCTAATGTCCTTAATAACATCAGGCAGTGAAGCATTGAGAAGAAGAGGGATAAGTATAAGAGGATTATCACCGTCAGGAAATGAGTTCTCAATCTAAAAATATACAATGTGGAGAAAACATCTCACAATAAAGAGGAATTAAGCAGGAAAAGGACAAATACCCATTTCTGTAATTTGGAGAGTTTGTAGAGTAACTGAGGCAGGTCAGGGTTTTTGAGTTCAGTCAATGGCACTCTGATTCACATTCTAATGGAAAGGCTCAAGGTTGAGGGAGAAGTAGTAGCTTTTATATGCAGATTCCATTACTTTGAAAGGCACTTCCTGTTTATGGTAAAGGCACCCATTGTGTTTCCCTTTACTTTCTGTAAAGTGATTTTAATCTTCATTGCTGGATTCATTAAAACATGTATTATTTCACAGCTGGCAACTCCCTGGAGGGCTAAGATGAGGAAAACTCTTGAAAGAAGATATCACCTCCCTTACTGATTGCATGCCTTATCACAGCAGTGTTCCACTTTCTAAGTGTTTATTTACAACCATATACCTCCTGTAATAGGCAATAAGCAATCGTGATATCTTCACTTGGGACCAATTTAGAGAAATATATTCATTGCCCTCTGTACGTTGGATTTTTAAAGACTATTAGTCAAATTTAAAAAAAAATATTTTAGAAGTTGTGATGTATTTTTTGTTTCTTCAAAGTGAGGATTTGAAACATTTTTGTTCTGGAATTTGAATTTAATCAACTCAACATTTTGCACAACAGAAATTATGAGTGTAATTATTATTGTTGCTGTTGGTGTTAATATATTTTTGCTCAGATTCATACAATGTTGAATTGGCTTATGAAACAGAGCAAAAAAAAATACTCCCCTTTAGGTAAGTGACTCTGAATACCTCTCTTTCCATTTATTGAACCTTGACACAGAACTGGCAACTCACAGAAAAACAACCACAGAAAAATCACAGAATCACAGAAAAACCAGAGAGACCTCTTGTAAAATTAGTAGGTGTCAGTAAAGAACACAAGCTAGAGACTATTCTCAGAATCTGAGTGATGTTTTATGGCCATCTGAAAGCCTTTAAAAAATAATAACTGAAAATGATCAAGCTGGAAAGTGTTTCAATTACAGTCATTAAAACAGATTCTCCTTGTGCAGCCACTAGAGTAATTACACACTACAGATAGGGCTCAGAAAAAGGTCTTTGGCAATTATATGACTTTTAAAAATTTTATATGGATTTTATATTTTGGCAAATTAAATTGCCAGTGAATTAAAGGATTTCAGAAAACATTCCTCTTCATTCGGTGTACATCCAATTTACGAAATTTTTAAGAGCAAAAATTATTCAACTGGAGACATACAGAGAATGACCAGCTGTAGACCATGATGATGTACTACAGAGGACTCCTCAAAGGGAAAACAAAGTTTTGTTTTCTTATGTCACCCTCCACCCCATGCTCCAATAAAAAAGGAAAAAATATATCTAAGAAACAAAACCAATGTTTGATTCTCCTTCTAAAGAAATATTTTTATCACAATGAACTTAGGGTGGTCTTCTGATGTAATTATGCTGTTTTGTTTTCAAGCAGTACTGGGTTAGAGAAACCCCATTTAAATACTGTATGTCGATGTCATGTTAATGAAATAGTGGTTGAGCACTCATCAGGTATTCTTGTTGCAAAGGATATGTCAACTCAGCTAAAAACTGAGGTCTTCAGATAAGCTGGCACACATGCCTAATTATCTCTCACTCAAGTGAAATGCTAGGTAGTTTACCACAAATAAATAAGTAACAAGCAAAAGAAACTTTTTTTTTCTTCCCATAATTTAGTGAGTTCCTGACTGCGGTAATCACAGAGTTAGGCGAATGCAGCATGTTGAAGAATGAGGTCTACCTTAGACAGCTGACGGGAAGAATTTGTATAGTGATCCTGTAAAACTTGAGATATGAGGAAAGTGTCTTTTTTCTCAGCTTTTTATTGGAGATGCTCCAGGTTTGTTGTATGAAAGGACACCCAACAATCAAAACTCAGTCATGAAAATGACATCAGGAAGCAAATGAGTGTATCAAAGTGTGTGGCACTGCGGCACATAAAAATCAGCCCAAAGCTCTGAAACAGAATTCCCTACAAGCTGGAGCAGGAAGCGAAACCTAAGGTAACTCAATAGCACCACCCACTGTGACTGGACTCACATTGACACTTAAAATGGACACCTCTATTCTTTAACAATCTACAGTAATCAATTACACGAAAGACAGCAGTCGAAGGATCATCAACACCGTGTGCAAATACTTTATAAGAAATAGAACAGATTGTGGAGATTGTACTCACGGCCAGCATCTAATTCTTGGTGACGTGAACAGATAAGTATGAACCTACCAGCAGCATAATATCCTATAGTTTGTCTTTCTTTTCTATTCATTCATTTTTTCTGACTTTTGATCTCCACGTTTTTATCTTGGTTTGCAATCAGGTGTTATGAACTACCTCTTCATTTTTATTTCCCCAGACTTCATTCACAGTACCCCCACAAACAGATGCTCATATCCTGTGCTCAGAGGAAGTGCCCTGCACATCTGGTAAAATGCTGGAATAAGACTGTAAAATACTGTCTCTAGCGGATGAACAGAAATTTTGTATTGGCATTGCAGTTAAATGTGGTATTCTGCCTTTTTATTGCTTCTAAATTATATGTTTGTTTTGAAACAGTCATCCTTGTTACAGTTTCTTGTCTATTGGAACATTTTAGAATACATATTTGGAAGTAAGAAAGTAAATGGCATTCCAAAGAAAACAATTAACTGTACCACATGGTAAAGGAGAGTTTTTTTTAATGTGAAAGGAAAAGAGGACATTTTATTAGCATTGCGGCCATTGCTGACACGCATACTGCCTCAATTCTAACAAGGTCATCATATCTTCTTAGATTTTCATCTTATAATTACAGTAGGTGCAGGATGCTTGCTGCAACGCTCACCTGGTTAAACAGTGTTCTGATATTGGATGGACTGATTTACATCCTTTTTAACATGGAAAAAATGACAATTCATCAGCAGTAATATTCTTGTTCCTAGCAAAGAGCTTAAAGCGTTCTTAAAGCTTCTGTATTCTTTGCAATGCCTTAAAATGCAAAATGGACAATGTATTTTGACTTGAGGCACTCAGAAATCAAATAGGTAGAATATAAATATGAATCATTTTGTCAATTGAGACAATTCACTAAAGAGATAACTAGCTGGTATAGATCATTTGTACCAAGTTAAAGAATTAATTATTTTATAACTTGTACAACATGGGGTTCAGGTTATCTTTTGTTTGCCTTATTTAAGAGATATCCACAATGTCAAGTAGTGGACAGCCCAGAGGTAATTTATCAAATAATCCTAACTGTTAAAAAGTCACAGCAAATTAACCTTTCCTCTGCACAATTTTCCTGGCATATGTGTTCCTTAAATGCATGTTCTCTGAGTGGCAGAAGATAAGAGGTTTTAATTAAATTGTTCCAGTGTTTACAATCATTCAGCCTCCACTATCTTTTACTTGATTATGAGCCTGAAGTCTGGTATCTTGCATCCCTAATGCTTGTACAAGTATATGGTGCACCAAACTTAAAGATTGATCAGTAAATTTGATCTGTCAGATGGCTTATCCTAAAAAATAGTATTAGACTTGTCATATGAAGTAGCACAGGAATTGAGTCTTGCTTGGCTTCCTGACTTAGTTATCCACTCAGAGTATTGAATTTTCAACAGCCATGAGATAACTGGTTCAAATTCAGATTGCAGCAAAAAAGGACTCCAGTTTGGATCTCTCCGGGGGCAGAACGTAATTGTCTCATGGAGAATTCTCAGCTCCCTGTACGCCAGCAGAGCCTGTTGATAGACGCGTTCCTGTGAGCTTGCAGCATTATCAGTGAAACCTTTGTCTTTTATCTATTTAATACGAGAGTGCAGGGGTCACTGAGAATGATAAGTAAAGAGACATTGCCCTCAAATATTATTGGGACTGCAAAGTCTAAACTGGGATTTTCACTTTGACCTCTAATAAAACTGTAATTGCTCATGACAAATACATGATTGATTAATACAATGTGTAATTTTTAATACATATTTAATATTTGTTAATTATGTCATTTGCATTCTACCCTTAACCTAATTAAACAACTGATACTATTAAAATGTCTTTGTTGTTTTTCCAAATAATTTTATTAGTGTTGAAATAAAGAAGTCATTGTGAAATCAGAATTTTTTTTTGAGTTGTTTGAAATAACAGATTGAGACTATGCCATTAACTTTCGATTCCTCATTAACAGAAGGATTATTGTTAATGTGAATACCAAAGCATTCATCCAAAGCAGTGCCTCAGGGCACTTAATCCAAAGAAACCTATAATTTTATGAAGACTGGTGGCAATTTCACAGGAAAACTGTATAACATTTTCCCAGTATTTGGGGTTTTACCAGAGGGCCTTCAGTGAAAGAGAACTTTTATTCTTGTCTAGGACTTCTTGTTCTATTATCTACCAAGAGGTCAGAGTAGAATCACTGTTATATAGTATGCACACTTAGGATATTGCATTAAATGTCAGATCATATTTTTGAATGTCAAAAGGATCAGTCTCTGTCTCTGTCACCAATTTTTTTAAGATGGCTTATTTTGGGGGTTTATCTTTCCACAAAAACCTTCTGAACTAAACATTGAGCTTTTTGAACGAATCTTCTAAAAAAAGCAGAGTAACAGCACTACGGAAATACATAATAAGTGGTAGAATGTTAATTTTAATTTTGTTAATCTTACCCCAAAGCAAGAGGTGGTTAAGCCATCTTCTGTTATCTCTTTTCACCAATAAGGACATGTTAAGATGGGAATAACCTCTATTTGAGGTTTTAGAATTATCCCAAGATATATAACTTCTTCAGGTCACCATTTGACAACATGTATTTAATGGTATTGTCTCAAACTTCCCCCAGTTAAGTTTTGTTTTATAAATTGGGATCAGACTCTCAGACCACCATTTCTAAAGGAGGCCAGGACATTTTCACAAGCACTCACCCCTCTAGCTGGGTCCATGAGAACTAGAAATGGCTGTGTGCCTCTCTGTCCGGCTACCTCCCAATCCGGTAGGCAATTTATCAATCCAGCTCCCAATTAAACAGCCTTTTAAAGGTTCGACTCTCCACTAGACCAGTCCTCCAACATTGAGCTACTACGAGTCTTCAGGCAATCAGCACAGCATTTGCCTTCCGACTGCTTCAGGATTAAAAATCTTTCAAGCACCATTCCAGAGGAGATTCGCCTCTCCAACCATCATCCTGCTGGCCCCGCTACGTGATCTTCCAAACACCCTCTGTCCTGCTACCCCGTATTCCTTCTCTTCTACCAGCTCTCTGATTATCCAGTCTGCCTGCTTGCGTTCCCAAAAGACTGCCTCACTGCTTCCTCAGCATTCTGAACACAACTGAAGAATCCCAAAGTCTCGCACTTGGGTTTCAACCCGTCAGCTCACTGCAGCACCCACATTCTAACACTGTGCATGTCTGCTACAGTGGATAATCATGCATTCACAGGAAACGCATTTTTACTACTGTCTATTTTCATCATCGTTCTGAACTTTACATCTACCCTGACCTTATCATTCCTTGCATTTATATAGGTCTTTTCATCCCCAAGCATTTCACAGAGTGAGACCGAATCCATTCACCACCTCGGTGCTGGTCAGCAGGCTTTGCACCAGCAGCCACACTACACAGTGTGTTAGACAGAGAAATGAGAAAATGCTTCACTATACTGAGTCAAGTGGGAGTTTAAGTAGGACCTCAGTTCAAAACGTCATCTGATGAACAGCACATCCTACAGAAGGGTGTCCTTGGTACCGGGAAATTAATTTGGAAGTTCTGGTCCAGACGGATACATGCCACCTACTGGTCTACCAACACCATTAACAGCACCAACCTAGTTTCATTTTGAAGTCTCCCATCCCTGTGCTGACCTGACCCAACAGGTCCATAACAAATAACTGAAAAATGAATGCCTTTTACAAAAAGCTATCTTTGTCATTGATTAAACACCTAGAAGTATCACATTAGAGACCATTGGCTCTTTTACAGAAACAGTTCAAATGTAAAGTACAGTACCACCTAAAAACACATAAGATTTGCATATACAGCATATAGAATATATTTGTTTATACAGTATAGAGTATCAAACTATTTTTTTTCTGACAAGGTTAAAAGGCAGTAGAAGTGTTTTTTCCCTGGTTATGTCCAGCAGAAAAAAAGAAATAAATTGTGGGAAACAAGAAAAGACATTATTTTAAAAGTGGAAACTACACTGTAAAAAAATCACAAGTATAAAATGAAAAAAAAAGTTTATTTATCAAGATAAAGAGAAATACTTAACAGTTGAATTCTGACTTTGAGTCAAGCACATATCTTTTTTCAGGATCAATCCTACTGTCAACATTAATTTGCTTTGATTCAAAATATATCTATGCACACTTCTTTTTATAAGAAGAAAGAGAAAGAAATATAATCTTTCTTAAGGGCTGGTAGAAGGTAATTATATAAATCAGTCTCCAGGACAACCAGAATTTTTAACCAGCCTAGTGCTGCTGGTCTATTAAAGACTCATAAAGTCTTCATGTAGTGTAACTTAAATTTTTCTTCAACACTTTTGATCCAAGTGCTAAGGTAGGACCTGCTTCACTTTACTTTTTTTATGATACTGAAGTATGCCTCAGGCTTTAAATTCAGCACATTTCACAGCAATTCAGGTCTCATAATGGATGATGACAGAAATCATAATCATTCACATTAAATGGCTTTAGAATAATTATTATAAACAATATTTTTAAATCTTTTTCCTACCCAATACAAAGGAAAAATGAACATTTATGTAATTTCGTGTTTTATTTTAATTTGGTCAAAAGATTAAGATCATCATTTAAAGATCAGAAGTCTCAAAATCTGTTCCTGGCAGTTCTTCCCCACCCAGTGCTTTTGGAGCTTAACAAGAACGTTCACAGTGACCTCTGCTTCAGAAGCCGTGTGCTTCTGCGTCCACATGCGAGGAGAGGAGTTGTGAGAAAACTCTTACCATCAGCAATGAAGTGCTCCGGCACATGTAGAGTCACCTTCACAGTGAGAGGACAGGAGAGCTGGCTGCTGTACACTACAGCCAGAATGCAGGTGCTAACTGTGATTAATGTCAGAGTGGCTTTGTTCACTGGACTTCTCGGGGAGCCTGAGAGGAAATGAAAGATAAGAGGGATACAAAGTTAAATCAAGAGTCACCCCAAAAGCAAAACAAATCCAGACAAAAGTCAGGCTTCTCTTTACGGTGCTGTTTCTTTTGTTTCATTGTATTACCTGAATAATATATTCCCCGAGAAATACTTTTTGACATGCGTAGCATGAAATGTGGCTTTTCTCCCATGCTTCCACCCCCTGCCATCAGTGGGGGTGCTAACCGTACAGTGGTGAATTGTCATCTTCTCTGGTATTGGATTCTAGCAGTGTGGTGTCAGTGAGGCACCAAAGAGACACCCCCAAAGACTTAAGTAAATAGTCCATACTTGAAAGTACTTCATACAGTATGTAATAGTAGAATTAGACTGGATGGGGTTTTCACATGAAGTTAGTGGTATATAAGCTTGGCCAGTCTCACAGTCCTTAATTCTGTTTTGTACTGTATGTGAAATGTGTGTTTAGTAGAGTGACTTAGTACAGTATAAGTAGACTGTCTGAACTGGCATATGTTCAGTAGACATTTGATACGGTAGTTTCTGTAAGTTCTATGTAGACATATGGGTACAAAATGGTACACAATGGATGAAAAGATTTTGAATGGACATTTTGTGTGCATACAGTATAATGACATTGTGTAAGGAAATGTAAAAAAAAAAAGAAAAGCCATAGTGCCCTAATATTCTAGGAAGGAAGAACTTTTTCCTACTTCTTTTTCTCTAGATCCATCTGAATATCCTACTGCTTATAGTCATATGAGCAAAATTCAATTTAATTAGAGCCAATGTACAAAATGACAAGAATGAAACCTCATTTGAATAATAATAACATGCCTTATTAATGTTTAGATATTAGTGGATTGAATGGCTCTTTTAATAAATGATGTTTACTGTAAATATACATATTAAAAAACATGTAAGGCAAGTATGAGTAATGTAGTAATTCAGATCAGAAAATCTTACAGACCTTGAGAACTAGATCATGGGTAATAATTTCAAAGTAATTTTACTGATATGAAACGCAGTATATGAGAATAACCACTGTGTATATGATTTTGATATTGATGCTAGTGTATTTCACTACTGCTTTTGTAGTCCAGACATCAACGTTTCATTAAATGGCTGTGATTAAGAATCTCCAAATAGTGGCATGCAAGTGATAGAGAACTGATAGGACTTCTCAGTAACCCCAAAGACCTGCCAGGCGCTCAAGAGCTTTTAGTGTTACCAGTGAGAACTGCATCACTACTCTACAGTATCTGAAGCTCTCTGCTGCAGGAACTGAAAGGCTTGGACCATGAAATGTTAACTAACATTGCATATTTCAAAGGAAAATGTGCTGGACTGCAATGTTACAATAGCAAAATTGACAAGGAAAGGGGTGGTTATTGAATGAAGAATAACTAGTGATTAGAAACATAAAGAAACAGCATATCTGAATCTGAAAAGCCCCCACACAGAAACACCGACTGCATTTTCGTATTCATAGTCAATATAATATGGATTATGCAAATAGCTCTACATTTTTTCAGCATCCTCTCAGCATAATCTATATTAGGAAAAGCAGTTAATCTCATTTTCCTTTTGTTGTTTTATTTAGGGTACTTCAAAATAGTGAAAACTGTAATCATTAGGTCTCTGCAGCTCTCACATCTCTCTCGATCCACAGGTTCCCCGAAAAATAATTTGACATTTAAAAAAAGAAATTTAAAACACTTTAAAAAACATGACACACTGACTCACACAAAGGAAACAATAAGATAATACATGCCCTTCTTTTTAAATAAAATCACACTTAATCACATGTTGTGCATATCAAAAAGGAAGAGATAGCTATTGAATTTAAAAATATCTTTTAACAGCTGGATTTCCTTAAATGTAATTTCTTGTTTCATATCATGTGCATGGCACATTATCCCTTTTGTTTCTGCTTCTCACGTTGTTCTTTTCTATGCCTGTTAAATGTTTAGGAATAAGTGAGAAAAGAAGTCTTACATTTAAGAAAAGTTAATACTCAATGGAATATAATGTTACAAGATTGTTGTCACATCACAGCGCTGTTCCTGATTTACTTATACAAGAAATGTCATAATTGATGAAAGTGTTAATGCAGCGTCCAAAGAATCATTTACAGTGCTAAGACAATACTATTAAAGACGGCTATACTGTCCTATCTCATTTCCCCTAAAGCACTATTAAAAGGCTTTTAACAACCATTTTTTTTCTTAGAATACTTTAGCATCATTAAATATACTCTCTAAAAATGAACAGGAACAGCTCCATTTCTTTTGCACACTTGATGTGGAAAACCCAGTTGTGTGTTTCCTTATTTTGGTTCACATTTACAAACTTCCTGACCACAACATAGGGAGTGTAAGCAGACTACTCTGACCCACTCACATCTGAACCTCTTTTAACATGTCACAGGCACCACAGTTCCTCACCAAAGGTTCAGTACCAAAAGGAAAGTGGTATGTCTCTCACTGAAAACACCAAAAGCACGCAAGAGAGAGAGAGTTCACAGGGGATGCTAGGAATCAAAAGAGTCCTTTCTGAATAATCCTACCTTAGGATCCTATTGGGATTCCCCATTCCCCACAATTGCCTGAGCACCAGTATTTGGGACATCTCAATTACAATCAGCTTCAACCCAAATTTGAACCAATGGTTAGGAAACTCAATGTGTCGGTTTAGTCTAAATCAAACTTAAAATAAAAAAAAAACATGATGTTTCTATTGTCATAAAAATAAATCTGCAAGGGTATAGGTTAAGCAAAGAAAGAATGGATCAATGAAATTGTTGGCTTTATAAGCTTTGGAGTTTTCCCTTGTATATTCTTGCAAGGGCAGCCAGATTTCCCCATTTTTGTTTCTTCTGGTTGAGAGTAACTGCCCTATTTTAATCCAAGCACAATATTATGGGTTTTGCAGAGTGCTTCTGTGCAATTCTACATATACAGAGTATATACAGTACACTGTATACAGTACATAGGAAAATCAAGTGCTTTTCAGATTGTCACGTCAACTCTCATTGACTGCCCGAGGAAACAACTTAAAAAGCCTGTGTACATACCCTTTTCTTTACAAGCTCCTGTTGCTTAAGTAGCAGGCAACACAAGAAATTCAAATACAATCATGAGCACTGAAAGTCGTTGTGCAATCAGAAAGGAAACATTCCCTGAAGTAAAGGGGATCACAGCTAGGTGAATTTAATTATTTTACTGTTACTGTATGTTTTATAGCCTTTCGGGTTAAGTCAAGCAGTCTATTCCTTGCGTAGATACACAATTCCCTCCCTTCTTATGAATGCTGTAACCTACAGTAAATGTTTATGTAATTTAGTTATTCTGTTTCAATCTTTGCTACACTACTGTATGAATTTCCAAGAAGAATTTGGATGTACTGTACATTAAGTTTGGTCTTACAGGTAAATTTGTTGTGAGATCACATGGGATTCAAAAAGGGCTTCTTCAAGTCCTCTTAAGTGATGAGAAACACACTGTTGGCAGTAGCTCTGACACGGAGGTTCATGGAATACGATTTATGTACTGGGCAAGGAGGCAAAAGATGCAGGGAAAACAATTCATCCAGAAGCTAAAAGGGGAATAAGAACATACAGTAATAAGCTCAGCCACTTGATGCTGCAGGAGATGGATGTCCACTATGTGACATTGTTAGAGTGAGGTTATTTTAAGGAATCTCCAGATATTTTTTACCCATAGCTAACATAAGACATTAGCTACGTTTCCCTTAGAATCTAAAAGAAATAACACCATATACTTAAAGAGGTCATGAGTTTTCTGCAATATCTAAAGAGCAGAGCTTTACTGGAACAGAAGATCTATAGCTTTTCATTATGTGTTCAGGGACATTTAAGTTGTCTCAGTTTGTTGTCAATATTGTGAATTATGATACTGGGAAACTTAATACATTAAAGATGTAATATGAATTAATTCAGTCTTGGGACAATACAGCATGTCAGCCAATAGGTCTTCTCAATGAAGGACAATGTACTCTCTGAGCTGAACACTCCCTTAGATGGCTCTCACTAAACAATGGCTGTTATCTGATATATTTACTAAATGATGGATGACCATATCATCTCTGAAAAAAATACATGGCAATTCTTTTTAGTTTTTCAGTCAAGTTCACTAGACTAAAAATGAAAAAAAAAATATATGGACTAGCACTATTACAATATATATTATCATAGATAGGTACTATACTTTGCCTGTTATATGAGTACAAGTTAAATTATTTAATAGTAGTACAGTTATACACAGAATGTACAACACTGCTGGGCTTGTCTACTTCAAAAACTTTAAGTGAATCATTCATCCATTGTTTTTATTTTGTGATTCTTCCTGTAGAGCAGAAGGCTTTAGCATGTTAGGTATACAGTACTGTACACATTGACCTGAAGACTGCAATCATAACCACAGAATCACATTATTAAATTGTTCTTTTCCTGAAAAAAAGCATCCTCTTGGTTCCAAAAAGAAAGAAAGAAACTTTCAAGAGGGAGGACTGTGATACCCCCTGTGTGGAGATTTATGGTCTTCCTGCGCTTACATGGGGTTTTGCAAGTTTCTCTTCTTTCCATCCACCTTTCAAAGATATAGCAGATGGGTTAATTGAGGCCTCTAAACTGTGGGTGTCCTGTGATGGACTGCAGTCCTTTGCAGGCTATAGTCCTGCTTTGGGCCCTCCGTTTTTCTTTTGCTCACTTCAGAATCATATCTTTCAGCTAGAATCCTTTAATTTTGAGTGGAATTTCAAAGCCAAGACAAAGTTCTGCAAAACCTTAAGTCAAAATTTTAATTTCTTAAATCCATTCCCCCTTTTTTGAGAAGGTCAGAAAGAGGAGATTGCCAATATTTAGGTATGCAGTACAGTGATGCCATTTCCCCATCATTCTTCGACCTGTGAATCAGAAATGGAGCTGTGTTGTTTCCTAGCAACAAACCTTAAACCAAAGTCACCACTGAGGAGCAACACA